ACAAGTGCACACTTGTGGATGGCCAAAGCTCCTCTTCATTTCGAATTCCACATGGAGAGCCAATCTCTGACCGCTCCCCATGACCTATTTGTGTATTTGAGCATGAGAGAAATTCTCTGCGGGACCTACAGTTCACCTCGCAGGAATTTGAAAGCTATTACACTGAACGGAACATTAGGTTTTTTTGTCTTTCGTAAGGTCACCACTGGAATAAGTAATGCAGTTGTGCAAAGTATTATCTAGAGAACACGATACACAGGATGTTGAGAACGGACTCTCTCAAGATCAAGTCATGGGGACAGATTTATTAAGAGAGGCGCTGATTACTGACAGCCTACTGACACTCTGTGATTTTCTAATTAACATATGACCAGCATAAATACACACACACACATTTATATACATCTATATATATATATATATATATATATATATATATATATATATATATATATTATATGTGTGTGTGTGTGTGTGTGTGTGTGTGTGTGTGTGTGTGTGAATATATATATATATATATATATATATATATATATATATACACACACACACACACTGAGTATATACATACATATACCTCGTCAGTCCACCTTGTAGATGTAAAGTCAGAGACGATAGCTCATCTGCTGCTGCACAGTTTGTGATGGTCATCCTCTAGTCCTGCATCAGTGGTCACAGGACGCTGCCCACAGGACGTTGTTGGCTGGATATTTTTGGTTGGTGGACTATTCTCAGTCCAGCAGTGAGACTGAGGTGTTTAAAAACTCCAGCAGCACTGCTGTGTCTGATCCACTTGTACCAGCACAACACACACTAACACACCACCACCACATCAGTGTTACTGCAGTGCTGAGAATGATCCACCACCCAAATAGTACCTGCTCTGTGAGGGTCCATGGGGGTCCTGACCACTGAAGAACAAGGTTAAAAGGGGGCTAACAAAGTATGCAGAGAAACAGATGGACTACAGTCTGTAATTGTAGAACTACAAAGTGCACCTATATAGTAAGTGGAGCTGATAAAATGGACAGTGAGCATAGAAACATGGAGGTGGTCATAATGTTATGCCTGATTGGTGTATATACATATAGATAGATAAAACCATTTTTTTTTTGCCACTTCATTAATTAATTTTAAACACATGTTGAGCTGAACTGTGCTGAGTGCATTCAGAAACCATGTGATATTGTAAAATCCCTGTTTAATTTTACTCAGATCACCTGCAGGTGGTTTGGGAACTGTATGATTTTGAGCACAACCTCTTACCTGTGTGCAGTACTTACTTACGTGCCACAGCATGCAAATAAACCACAGTGCATACAGAAGCCACAGTGCACTGGAATAACAAAGTAATGAGTAGCTTTAGTCGAAAAAGTTTTTATATGTGCTTTTAAAAATCATTTGGAAAAGAAAACTGTCATTACTGTTTAGGCAAAACCTGCTTTTTTGACAGTGTTGTAAAATATACCCAAAATATTAGGGAAAAAAAGCAGTATAAACATTGCTTTTCTAAAACGATTTGGTTTTTATTTCCTTTATTGCAGGGGTGCTCAATCCTGGTCCTGGAGATCTACCACCCTATAGAGTTTAGCTCCAACCCTAATCTAACACACCTGATCCAGGTAACGAAGGCCTTTAGGAGCGTCTGACAATTAGAGCCAGGTGTGCTGGATCTGAACTCTCCAGGGTGGTAGATCTCCAGGACCACGATTAAGCACCCCAGCTTTATTGTGTTAAGAATAATAAGCCATGAATGGCAGGTGTTTCTTACTTTTTTATTCCAAAAAATACATAAATGTGCTTGAAAAACTTTTCTGTTTGAGCACAAACAGCAGCCCTGTTAGGGTCAAAAACAAGCTGTTCACAGGCATTAAATAACGCCCAGTCAGTATTTACTATCAGTCTCAGTAAACCTTCAGTATAAAGTGCTTCATTATAATAATGTTTTGCGCTTTGAGAGGGAAACTCCTACAAATGCATTTGCAATAATGCAAAAGCACAAAAGAGCAACAGCCAACACTGTTAGAAATAAAGGTTCTGTGAAGGTACATTTTTTTTTCATCAAGGTACAAACAATGTAAATGTACCCTCAAAGGTACAACAGTGGTTTTAAGGTCCAAATTGTGATCCTTAAATAAGTTTTTTCAGGTGAAAATTACATATTTGTACCTTTTCAGAACCTAATGTTTTAAAACAGAATAATAAGATAAAAAGCCTGGAGACGAGACGGGGTGTGTGGAGTTAATACAACTTAGACAATATAATTTCAATGGATTATGGTACAATTATGTTCCCTGACTAAAGGTACTGACATGTATCACCCTAGTGACAAGAGGGGTACTGCCCCAGTGACAGTTTCGTACCTTTTTTCTGAGAGTGTAATGGCCATTGCATGGTTATACTGTGCTTTAGTAAATCACAACAGCCACTTTTTAACGCCTAAATGGAGTCTGCGATGGTGCAAGATGTCGGTAAATTTGCACCATGTTCCACACCAAGCTGGATGTTTTATCAATATTTAAGAGGGTCAACCTTATTACAATATTTGATATTGTATATCAGCTTTAATCATCGTAAGTCGGCTTCATAAAGATGCAATTAGACCACCAACTAAATTTAACCTTCAAAATCTTTAATGCATTAATGAGACTCAAAATGAAGCGAGAACAGAGATATGAGATCTATTAGAATCTTTAATTCTAGTGGCATTTACATCAGAGCCCTCCATCAGTGAACACACAGTCTGGGTCCAAATTATTCTTGCATGCCTTTCTCCCTTTATTCCCCAGAATAGAAACGGGTGAATTTATAAGCATGGCAATCATTAAAAAAGCCCCCAAATGCATACTGCCAACATCAAATCCCATCTAATATTTCTTCTTCTCATACAGTAATACTGTTTACCTGTTGTCGGGGAGAAACGATAACCAGGGATGCATCCTTTAATAAGTTCACCTGCTGGGCTAACAATGTTGTTCCAGATTTGTCCGCTGCTCAGAATGTAGATGATACACTAAAACTCCTTGAACTCTCAATGCTTGAGAGGAATACTGATGACTATTAATCATTTGAATTCATTTCTGAATGTTGACTTTGTGTCACAATGTCCTCAAAATAACTGAATTTGTATTAATCACACCAAAACCTTTCATGGTAGGTTAGCAAATACAGACATCATCTGCCAGCGCTTCAGCAAGACTTGAGAGCTTGTATCTTGGGGAAGAATAGTGAGTGCTTTTCAGAAGGAAATTCAATAAATCTCAGTGATTTATTTGAGGGAAGCCTCTCTCCGTGTCTCTGCTCTACTACTACGGAGCGCAGCAGAGACAGGCACCTCTGCCTCCAAAGCTTCTACTGTCAGCTTCGGCTTTATCGATTCCTCTGTCCTCAGTGTAACCCTGATCCCCACTGAGTCAAGGTATCAGCCAAGTTTCAGTAAATGGCAAAGAGGTGAACAAAAGAAGTTAATGCGCCAAACGGACAACAAAAAGTTCCTCCGCCTACTGCCTGAGGCACAACATGAAGATATGCAGATCTAACCCAAATCTTGATCTTCTACATATCCCAGAGCGTCCTGTAGCCATCCCTTGAAACCCACTGCTGGCAGTGGATGGTGTGATGGGTATTCATTATGCTGCACAGTGCTGGAGAAAAAAGGTTAACTAAGCGGAGGACCTAAGCTTTTAATAGCCCGGTATCACCATCTCCATTGACATTGACAGCCTACAGCATGTTCACAGGGAGCCTGTCATACTTCGTTTTGTGTGGCTGCAGATAATTGAATGTCTCCAGTCCCTCCCTCCCTGAAGGCCAGAGGCACCTGGGGGGGCGATCAGGCAGGGGGGCTGGGAGGCCCTGAGGGAGCCGGGATTGATGCACCACTTTGGGGAAGAGACGAGGTGCCGGTGCTGGGTAATGGAACCCCCACCTGAGACTCCCTGCTAGCGTCGGATGCTACGCTACAGAGCAATCAGTGGAGAAATATCATACAGTCCCATCCAAGGCGAACAGAACTGGCACGGGCAGATTAAAAGAGACGTAGGTAGGGAAATTTAGTCTGCAGACCAGAGATTCCGTGTTCATAGATCATCACATTGGGATCCAACTGCAAATCGAAACGCCCCTCAGGATTCACATATTCAAGTAGACTTTCTTTGGAGTGATGCAATAGGAAAACCTTGCTTGGTTCCTCAAGTAACTTTAATGGATAATGTTTTGTAAATTCTACCAATCTTTTCAACATTTCTGCATAATTCAATTGATGCAAATGAAGTGATTCAGTGTGGTTTGGTGTGAAGTGGTGCATTGAAGAGAAACACACCAACTCACATTTCTTTACAGTGGTGATGATTGGAACCAGGCATCACATTGTCTGCAACACAAAACCAGCTATTTTATTTACTATCCAAACCCACCAGTGAACCCACATGCTTCTTCTGAGTGCTGATAACGGTAAAATAGTGATAAGTCTGAACAATACGTTTTCTTTAGGTATTATTTTTCCTTACAATGCTTTAAATGTACCATTCTGTCATGACTGGATTTTAAAAAGTACATTTTAGGCCACAACCTTATCTCAAAACTATCAGGGCAGCGTATTCATAACCATCTCACGTTATTGTTTGCTATCCGGTGACGACCAGAGGAGGATGGGTTCCCCTTTTGAGTCTTGGTTCCTCTCAAGGTTTTTTCCTCTTGCATTTAGGCAGTTTTTCCTTGCCACTGTCGCCATTGGCGACGCTCACTGGGGCTTGGACCCGGATTTTTTTCTGTAAAACTGCTTTGTGACGACACCTGTTGCAAAAAGCGACTTGACGTTTTATTAACTTTTAACTATCTATTAACTTTCTGTGAGGGAGATTTTAGAAGCATTAAATCAGGTGTCTGGTTTCTGTCACCATGACTGTGAATGATAGTGAGTTGGTAAGTTTCTCTAGAATGGTGCATTTCACACTAAACCACTGAATGATTTACATCCTAATGGTTTAATTATGCAGAACTTTTGAAAAATTCAGTGGAAATCCCCTTTAAAGTTCAAAGAACCTCCACAAAAAGAAAAGGTTCTGTATCAATTAGATGTTTTTTCTGAATTGTACGTTCAAACCAAAAACCATATGGTACCCTTCGTTATTAAGAGTGTAGGGGGGGCCGTGTGACAGCATATGTGTTTCTTCATTCACTGTTTGCTCTTCCTTCGTTCCAATACAGTAATAATTTAACGACCCTGGAAAACTGGCCAACATCCTAAAACCAGTGAGCAAACACTTTACCTTACACAGTCTCACACACAGAACCACACACACACGGATGCCACCCGGGCGCAACAAAATCACTTTTCCCACAAACAGAGTTACACTCCTCCAATATGTGCGGTAAATCCATCAGCGGCCACGTCTGTCCCGCTTGACTTTCCTGGATCTGAAGCGGATCTCAGACAGCTTGGAGTTGATCCCGGTACCAATCTGGCCCTTCCGTGCCAATGGGAACCGCGCCAGCGTGGCATCTGCGGAGGGAGAGAGTGACACTGCGACAACAGTTGGAGGCGAGCGAGCGAGATGGAGCGAGATAGAGAGGGAGGGAAAGAGAGCAAGCCACAGCAGTTTCTCAGCACTGCCAGCGCTGTCAGGCCATTAAAACGCCAAATGATGATGAATGAGAGGGGATGGGCCTGTCGGAAACAGCCCCCATCGTGATGCTCGCCCCTCTCAATCCTCATTTCGCTTCCAAAGAGGCTTTTTTTTCCCCCTCCTCACATTCATATCCAGAAAACTGTTGCACCTCTGAGGTGGATGCTGATATCATCCATGATTCATTGGTAGAAAATTAACTGTTGGATAACAGTCAAAACAAACTGCAGCAAAATGTGCAATAGGCATGTTTGTCTGTTGATGAGAAAAGATCTCATTTCATATTTCAATGCTTTATTTGTGCGATAATGTGTCTGTTTTTCCCCTTGAAAATCTCTACACTTGTCAGACAGATGACAGACAGAGAAACAGGACAGAAGAGTTCTTCATGAACTGGTTTAATGGCTGACTACAGTCACGTATTTGCATATATACACCTATGAATGTGTATTTGCTACAACCCCCTCCACTCTCTGGCAAGGCTTTCCACAAGACTGTGGTTTATCTGTGGAAATTTGGGCCCATTTAAGTCAAAATTAGTGAGGTCAGGCACTGATGTTGGACGAGAAGGCTTGACTTGCAAAGTGTAGTGAGTGACGCAAACAAAAAACAAGGTGCTACTTAGCACTTGGAAGCCCCTCTCTGAGAGACTGTGGGGTCTACTGCTTTGTAGTTGAGCTGTTGTTGCTCCTAGACACTTCTGTTTCACAATAATATCAGTGACAGTTGAGTGGGGCAGATCTAACAGGGCAGAAATTTTACAAACTGGCCTGCTGCAAAGATGCCATCCTATGCCAGAGCCACGTTTTCTTTACTATCTAAAATGACCAGTGAACCTACACATGTCTTCAGACTTTATATGTGATGTTAATAATAGCAAAATAGTGGTAAATTAAAAAAAATGTGTTTTTTTTGTACTATTGTCCTTATAATACCTATTTTTTTCAGAACTAACATATTTAAAAAAAAAAACTTTTTTAAAAATTCAAATTTCAAAAAATTCTTGAAACTATCAGAAACTATGGAATGTCTCAGTTATCAGGCAGCATATCCATAACCATTTCATGTTATACCTTTCTGTGCTGTAGCTCTTAAGCTGAGCGTACACTAGATGACTTTGCAAATCCAAACAGATTTTGAAAACAGAGAGCAGCACACACTTAATTTCAGTTCTTGTCTTTTTGTTGTGGGGGCACACACATTAGACGATAAGGCAAAAGAGGGTATCACACACATGACAGGTTTCACTCAAAACCTCAATCCCCCCATTATCAAATAAGCCAAACTGGACTGAACATTCTTGTGCTAATCTGCACACACAAGTGTGGTGAAACACAAACTGGGAATGTCTACTGAGTTGATAAATGCAGAAATCACAGTGAGAGCTGAAGAAATATTCTACTATAAACTGGAAGCTGACTTTGTACAGAGAGGGTCTCTTTACCTGTGTTCATCAAGCAGCTCCTCTGACTCTACTGCACACCTCTTTTTTCTCTCTCCTCGCTCATTGGCTGTTGCCTGAAATGACCATCGCACACTACAGGACTTGAAAGTTTTGAATTGTAAATATCAAACATGCTTGAAAAAATCAGAAGGCCTCTGATCTCCCTGGAGCTAGATGGGAAGGCTAATTGCGAATGGGGAAAATTGCTTCAAATTATAAGGAAATTGTCAGAAGGGGCAAATAAGGGTTAAAATTGGACTAAAATTTGTACTGCAGGCCCAGCTTTAAATGTGTCAGATGTCTGGCTCAGATTCCGAATCACTTTATTTACATCAATGATTTAATTATGAAAAATTTTGAAAGATTAGTGGAATTCCCCTTTAATCCTATATTAACACCTTAAAATCCCAGGTTTATTATGTACTAAGGCCTATTATTTAGTAACTACAGGGACTTCATTGCAAAATGGTTGAGCTATTCTTAGGTTGTAGAAATGTGTAATAAAACTGGCCTGTTAAGGGATTAACATCTTATGATGCTTATGGTGCAATTTTTCCATGTATCTAAAGGGGGTGAAATTTTTTTCTCAGACAAAGACTCTATTGCACATTTTTGCTTTGCTATAGACGGGGGGATATAATATGATGTTGAGGAGAGATTACTTTAGGATAGAGTTAGACAGTAAGTTAAATCTGCCTTTTTCTCAGATCCAATTATGTATCAGATGCAGCTATGAGACTATTACACTGACCATTTAAATGATGCCCTTCCAACCATTTCACAATGACCTTTTGTGTATTCTCTCCTCATCACTTCTCTTATGTGTAATAAATGAACAATACACAAATAAGGAAATAAAATCTTATTAGTTTTGATATTCATTTGTGTACAGGGCATTTCAACAAATCTAACAGGATGGTTAAACACCAGAATGTCCAGATAAAAACATAGGTATTTTGTCCTGTTGTCTGAAGAGTCTAAGGCTGACTGTAAAGCCCAATAGTGATGGTTATTCACGCTGATAGGAGGTTTACCAGAGCAGATCTGTGGCTTTAAACACACTATCATCTTATGATCATTTGTAGAAATGACTGGTCACTTTTTAAATGTATTCTGAACTGAGGTTGTCGGGGGGCTTACTGTAAATGGCGTTCAGCTTGTCCGGGTCCAGGGGGGCGTGGTGGTCTGAGTATGAAGGTCTGCGGCTCCTCCCTCCTCTGAGGTTGCTGTTTAAAAGCGTGTCCATGTCAAAAACCCCTAACAACAGGGCTCGCACCATCGCCGTCGGTGACCGCGCCATGTTAGCCGCCAGCCAAGCGTGTTCTGCACAGAAAATGCCTGAACCTGGATACACTTCCACCTGTCGGACCTAAACACAGACAACGCACAGTGACAAAGGTTAAAACTGCATCAATGAGGTGACAGCAGAGCAAAACAAAAGGATATGAAGAGAAGCAGAACAGACACCCTGGAGCAAGGCATGAAAAGAGGAGTGGGAGATGCAAGCCTAGCCCCTTAAACTCTACTTATTATTCACTTATTAATTTTATGGTTTATATCCCCTAACTAATATGAATCATGCAAGCCTGATTTAGTGGGGAAATGAGGGACTAAAGTTCTGTGCGGGGGGTCTGAGGTTCCAGGGAATTTCTGGTGAATTTCAATTAAATTGAGCTACACTATTAAATACTGTCATATACTATGCTTTTAAAGATTTAGGGTTGGCTCCCGACAGGGATTAAGACTAGACAATAGCTAGCTGTCTACAAACCTTCAATTCCAAAAATCTCGGGACGGTATGTGAAATGTATGTGGGAAAAAAAAAGCAGTAAATCAAAAAATTCAGTTTGACCTCTAAAAAAAAAAACCAGAATATTTGATGTCTTACCTTATAAACTTGATTGATTTTTATTTGTTTTGGATAAAAATATGCTCATTCCAGACCACAATACATGTTTCCTCTGTACATCATTCCATTGCGGATGAGCTTAAACCCAGCGAAGTTGGCGGCATTTCTGGACATTGTTGACATTTGTCTTCCACAGTGCACAGTACAGTTTTAAATCACAGATGAATATCTTCACTTTGCTGCCAACTGAGAAATACTAGCATTGTTAATAGCAAAGCAATTGCTATTTGCTTTCACTGTTTGACAAGATAAAGAATACAGACAGAATTTGACTCACTTTAATACAAACCCAATTCCAAAAAAGGCTAGACAGTAAGAAAAATGCAAATAATTACAGAGAGCAATGATTTATAAATCTACTTTCATCTGTTTATATTTGAATGAAAACAGTACAAATGAAAAAAACACAGTTTGCCTCACTCTCTCTGTGTGGATAGAATGGTCCTCAGGCAGGCATCTGTCAGCTGACATAACAGAACTGGCGGTTAGCGTTCTTCTCTGAGTGTGTTGAGCTGTTCAATGACGTTGAAGCGGCTGGCCTCAAAAAGTGGACACGAATAAATTGGGGAGAAAATAAAAAATCAGGAAATCCAGAGACAAAGCCAAAACTACAACTGAACACCCATGACCTTCAACTCAGCTGACCTTGACCTCAGCTGGAACTGCATGTTTCTATGATGGATATCACCAACGGGGCAGAAATACATTGACTAACCATTGTTAACAAACACTGTTCGTTACTGAATCCATAAATACTAGTTACAACTGTATTATGCTCAGAGAAATCCAAGTATCAACAATGTTAAGAAACGCTGCCGACTTCTCTGGGCTAAAGCTCATCTGAAATGGACTGATGCACTGTGTGTGCATGGACTGACGAGTCAACCTTTCAGACAGTTTATGGAAATAATGGACATTGTGTTCTCTGGGCCAAAGAAGTAAATGACCATCCCGATTCTTACCAGCCTAAAGTTCCAAAGCCAGGGTCTGTCATGATATGGGGTAGTATTAGTGGGTAACTTGGATGTCGGTGAAAGCATCATGAATGCTCAATACATTTTAGAGCAAAATATGCTGCCTTCTAGATGACGTCTTTTTCAGGGACGTTCATGCTCATTTCAACATGACAACACCAAGCTACATTCTGCACATGTTACAACAGCATAGCTGTGTAATCACAGAGTGCAGGTGTTAGACTGGCCTGTCTGTCTCCTACTGAAAACATGCGGGGGATTTATCCAGAAAGTAACTGCTAGGAACTACTATGATTTATACAGGAACCTCTATGAAACTGATATGTAGTTTAGGAGACAGGGGAAGGGATGTCTGGACCTGTTGATGGCTTTTCAAAGTTTAAGAAGTTAACAAAACTAAATAAAGAAAAAAAAGCATGAGTGAAAGAGGCTGTAAGACAGAAGACAAAAGGTGAGGCACAGAGGGACACAGGAACACACATCCCCGCAAAGCCCTGTCGTGGGGCGATCGCCCCAGCTGAGAGAGAGAGAGGGAGCAGCTCTACCTGTGGAGAAATCGATCCGGGCATTGAGCGGAGCCCCCTCACACCCGCCCTCACCCACCACGGCCCAGCAGGTGCCAGGGCAGCGCAGGCCAGACCAACGCCCAGAGGACAAAGAGCTCGCACGGGGAAGGAGCAGGCTCCAATTATTCATCACCTTTAACACAAGCTCACTGCTGGTTCCACTGACATTCACTCTCTTGCTCATGCACATGCAGAAGACAGTGAGTAAAATAACTTTTTCAACAAAAGAAAAGAATTATGATTATAGCAGGGCTGCTGCATGTAACTATGCTGCAATAATAAACGATAAAAAAACTGCAATTATATATATCAGCCTGTACTGAGGTAACAGTCTAAATTAATGCCTTTCACAAAAGACTTTACCATGAACAACCTAATGGGAGCAGGTAAAGCATGGAGATGATAAACCAACAGGTTACTCAGGTTCTCCTTTCCACTGTCTTCTTTCCTGCTGTGTTAGTTTTGATATATATTCTGTCTCTTTCTCTCTCTCCCCCTCTCTCTCTCTCTCTTCTAGTTGAAAACCCTTAGAAGTCACAGTTATCAATGACAATAACAAAAGCATGTTTTATGTAACTTCTTATATAATTACATATTCATCATTTCATTGTAGATTTCAATCGATGTCATATTTGACATCATCTGTACAACAGGCGAGTTTTTTTGTTATAATTTGAATTTGATGAGATTTTTGGAAAGAGGAAAAAAAACATCCTTTACAATTTGCTATATTTATCTTTCATACACATTGAAACAAACAGAAAATGTCAGAAATGCAGACTCAAGCCTGCCGATGCAGAATGTAAACTGAATAAAATCAGAGGGGAGCGCTCAGGGCCTTCTAAGCCTTCAGAGAAAGCCTAATAATCTCTGTGAAGTTAAAAAAAAATTTCAGTTCATTTTAATTTAATGTCATTCTTGTTGTATTTAAACTCTACAAATACTATAGTTGGTTAAATTCACGAGCTGCTAAATGGAAAAATGGTCCAATCGTATTTTTTTTCTCTGTGGTATCAGGAAAAACAGCACTATCATTGGTTAAGACTTCAGAAACTGAAGGGCTAATGGATCAGATTAACAACTAACATAATTAGAAACTGACAGAGAAAGCAACCAATCACTTTTTGATTTCCAATGGGAGGGACCGATTTCATGAGAAGAAACGTCACTTGAAGTCTTCTGTGAGTTCTAGATATGTCACTGACTGTGAAAAGCCAAAATCAAAGCCAAAATCCAAATCAAATGTTCATGTGTAATCTAGAATGGCCAAAAAATGTTAATGTAAACCTGTATTAGCTTAGGGCTAACATATTATTAGAACCCCACAAGGGTGCTAGCAGAAATTAGCATTATCGTAAAGGTGATCTTCCCTCAATTTTCCTTTAATTTTGACATTTATAGCCCAAATTGGAGGTTTAGCTTTAATAGTCACACTGTTCGCCACTGAATATAAATGTAATTCAATGTGCAACTATACAATTAATAATAAAACAATAATAATAACTGTGGACTTCTAAGAGTTAAAGTAGTTCAGAGAACAGGAAGGAAGTTGAGGTTTCTTACAGGTGTGTTGTTTGGAGCCAGTGGTCTGTGTTCACTGAGGGAAGATACTGAATCTGTAGAGCTGCATGGAGAGCTTAGATACGCATTCTGACCATCTTCTCTGAGGGCGACTGGGACACAAATTCCCATTCATGTCATCCATCGATTCAAACATACCCCCATCAGCTCCATTATGGCTGCCAGCAATTTTGTGTCCGTAGGCACCAGTTTCCAAAATCATTTCCTGCTGAACACCCTTTATATCTACCGAAACCGACGGCAGAAGACTGCAGTCCTGTTCTTTGTACTGCGCAGGCATGTAGCTGCTGACTCCAGCATTGATGGACTCAGATAGTGAAGGGCCAGGCTGATGGTGGCTGGGTTGTCCAGCATTGCTGGTTATAGTCTGCCACATTGTAGACAAAAGGTGTGGAATCTCTAAATGTCAGCAGCAAAAAGAAAAGAGAGGAAAGTCACACGTTAGCAATGTTATGTCTTACATGTATAAATAGCCTGAGTAATTTAAAGGACTAAAAAAAATTTAAGTTACACAGTTTTCCCCTCAGGCCAAATGTCTGATCAGCTACAACATGCTTGGTCTCCGTATTTTACATCTTTAGCTCTGGACAGGAGCCGTGAGGTTAATAACAGCTAATGAAAGTTTCTGACCACCAATTTGGATCATGCAGTGTGGAAACTGAATGCCTAAATTAGCAAACCACTTTGTCTTTCCAGATAGACTTGCTTTGTCTGTTTTTATGGAGAACAGTATATCATACAGTGTCAGAAATCATATGAAGCAAGTCTACTTGAGATTACTCAACAATTGAGTGTGGTTTGAGTGTGCAGTGATAACAGGCCTGCAGTCTGTATACTGCTAATAGGTTGTCATTAGTCTCACAGGCCTCACTTCTCCCTCTCAGGACCGAGTCTGGTGCTTTTGACCACCTAATGTGACCAAGACCCACCAACCTTGCCAGGAACAGGCAATACTTGGCTTGATAAATGGAAACTAAGAAATTCCTGGGTTTATAAAAATGGTAAATGTGTCAGTTATTCATTTTCTGTTTTCAAATATTGGAAAATAAATTTTGATAAATATTGGAAAACAGAATATTTTAATGATCATTCATTGAATATTGCTGAGCATGTGTCTGAATGGTACAATGATAAAATGATGAATGGTAAAAAATGTTGCCACGATGTGCGTATACACATGGGGCAGCCAATCAGAATATCTGTGGCTAATAAGTAAAGGAGGCTTGTGATAGCCTAGTCTCAGCTTCAGACGCTCTGCCCACATGGAAACGGAGCATCTGCTAATTTTTGCACACAAAACTGACAACAACTATCAGAATGACAAAATTCTCACACATGACAACTGACAAAATTCTGATAGTTGTTGTCAGTTTTGTGTGCAAAAATTAGCAGATGCTCCATTTCCATGTGGGCAGAGCGTCTGAAGCTGAGACAAGGCCATCACAAGCTTCCTTTACTGATTAGATCCAGATACTAAACATGTCTTAGATGATTCACTAGTCTTGGGTTTGAGGGAAAAATGCCCACATTTTAAACTGTGTTTAGTTTTCGCTAAAAAGACCTCAAAGTTTCTCAAATCCTTTAGCACTGCCATGACAACCATTCGCACTAATATAAACTGAATTACATTTTTAACAAATTAGCCAAATTGTATTTGCTTAACTTTAAAGTTAGACTGAAACCAGAACTGACCTTTTTATTGTGTTAGTCTATGTCCTTCATATTAAACACATAATTATCCAATTTCAGACAAAATTATTGTTTTCCTGTAATCTTTAATCAAAATGTAATAACTTTTCCTCGTCTAGAAAACATCTTCTGATTTTTGATTACATTGCTGTGCACCAGTGGGCGGGGAAAATAAATGTCACCCCTGCATCATTGGAAAAAAAAAGCTTATCTAGCTCAGAGATGCTCCCTGATGCTGCTTTTCAGACACATATTAGGGTTGCCGGATTTCAGCCATGGCAAAGCAAGCGTGAAGCAGATAACATGCCGTTCCAGCCCTGTTAGCCCTGTGTTTGTTTACATTCCACATTTGTCACCAATGTGGAGCATTTATATTGCACTATTTAAACTGAGATTATTTGCACCATTTTCAAAATAATTATTGTTGATGTCAAGAAGGTTTCAGAAACTGAAGTATATAAATGTATTCATTTAAATATAAAATGTTTTAGAAAGAACAGGATCATTTTTAACCAGGCAGAGATCATAAACTTCAACAAACAAATAAATGTTGATGACTTGTACAAATGTACAAGTCATGACATGTACAAATAACATGTTGATGACTTGTTGGACTGACTGTATACAGTCAGACCACTCCCTCTTTATTCTGTCAATACACTGCTCCATTCCTGCTTCTATGCTGTAATGTTTTTTTTGTTGTTTTAAAGCTGTTTGATAACTGTCTTCAGTTTATTTTGGTTTTTTTTTGTTACTAATTTGATGCTATTCAGTATGGTACACGCAGTTAAGATGCAGCTGCCTTACTATTGATAGCCCCGCCCCAGGAGGAGTGACAATCTTTTGTGATTGGTGGAATATACCCCAGCACAAAGCCTAAAACATCATGCGTGCACATGTGAGAGAGAGAAAGAGAGAGAGAGAGAGGGGCAATGACAGGGCTAGAATGCGACTTTAACTACTTCAAGAAGTGGAAAACATTTAGAGTGAGACTCAACCACACATTTTAACATCCAGTCAACAGCACCAACCAAATGACAGAGCTCAACACCACACTGTTAAAAACGAAAGTCAGCTCAACTTAAAATTGTAAGGTAACTGATACCACTGCTTTTCTTGAGTTCAGCCAACTCAAACTTCTTAGCTTATACAAAAGTTCTCCTAACTCATATTCTTCAGTTCTGTATCTTAGCTAGGTTAACAGTAGAGACTGCATGGTTTTTTCTTCTCTTCTCGCTATCAGACGACCCCACCAGGCATTTTCCCCACTTGGGCTCCCAGTTATGGATGGCAATGGCATCACTGGGGTTCAGACTCACAACCTCCTGGTGGGGGTAAATGCTTAATCCGTTGCAAGAAAACTCAGATTTCTGTGTCCTTAAATGTTCGAAGCAGCGTAAAAATATTTGTTGTAACTTTGATAAGTAATGTTTGAATAAAATAAGAAGTTTGAGCTGCGTGAACTCTGGTGTCGTCACGTTGAGTTAACTTAAGAAAAGCTGTGTAATCAGTTATCCTATAATTTTAAGTTTAGCCGAAATCTCATTTTTTGCAGTGCGGGCACCTGGCAACCCTATCACAAATCACGATACAGAAGAAAACACATTCCTATGATTTCTGACTGACTTTAACTCAGCCATTTTAAATCAGCTGCTGCTCCTCACCCTTGACGAGCAGGTCTTTGAGGCGCTGGTTTTCCGCAGCCATCTCTGCCTTTTCTCTCTCCAGCATCTGAACTCGAGACCTGAGGAAATGAAGCTCCTCTGAGGAGTTGATGCTAAACATGTGGGGCTCAGTCTTCATGTTCAGCTGATAACCCTGCAATGGAGAAACACAGTGAGGAAAGCTGGAACACTGAGGGTCACTTAAGCTGCATCACAGTTCTGTTCCAGGATCTCTGCTATTAGAAAAAGGTTAACAGAAACTTGGAAGAAAACATGTCAGAAATGCTTTCAGGCGGCCAAATTTCCAAAGAGAGGCTTAAAAAATGCTCTCAGCTAAACAGACAGATTTCCATCATTTTTGAAGCTTAATTATACCCTTTATTCCCTCTCGAAAACATCTGACATTTGAAAATCAGAAAAACACACAATAATAGCTACTGAAATTCTTAAAGACTGGCGGCACCCTTTGACAGTAAATGGCGAGAGGGACAGCAAATGGTGTTGAGGTGAGGAGGATTTGCTTCAAGTTGACATTTTCCATAAACACACCAAATCAACACAGGTTCCATATGAAGCTGACAAGCCAGAACAGAACAAGAAGGTGAGGAACAAAATTAGCCTAATTGTTTCTGACCACCTCTGTGACAATTTCCATCCATCTCACCCAGGACAAAAAATGTCACTCGCAAAAACTTGGAGCACCGATGAACAAGGAGATTGAAATAAGTTCCATTGTTCTTAAAGTGATCTGTTTGTTTTCCAAAGCTTTCAGCTATTTCTGGAAAAATAAAACGTCTGAAATTACAGTTGCTCCCCGAAGGGAAAAGGCAAAAAGGGCCAAATATTATAATCTGTCATCTTACTCATTAATATGCAAATTGAATCGTGTTTAGTCAATCATTTTATGGCGCAAGTTAGGTTGTAATATGCCACATCATATTTGAAGAGATGCAGAAAACATTACATTGATGCTGTTTCAATTTGAATATTAATGAGGTTTACATCATTTACCGTTTCCCCAGACTTAACAGGCCCATGCATTTATTAAAGTGTACACAACAAACAGCCCTACGAGACAGAGACTCCAAACCGTTTTGGGAGAGACCCAATCCTATTTGAAGGTGTTAAATCTTTCTGTCTCTGAATTTGAAATAGACAAATAAACACTGATATTGCAAACTGACATCAGTAAAGCACATTGAACCTTCTTTCTTTAAGACATCAGCATGTCTGGAGCTTTAAACTGGTTCTCAAAGCACACTGCAGTGTACAGGGCACAATGTGGTTTTCTCAAAAGCTGAAAAAGCCATTGGGTTCATTCTCATAGGAGCTTGAGGAGTGATGACCTTGGACTGGTCAAGAATAGACTGAAGCAGCTTGTTGCTGAGAGATTTACTCAGTTTCATTACAATCTATACAGCTACTACAGACATAATACTGCCCTGTTTAAAGCTGTTAGCTGCTGCTCCAGCTCTTTAAAGGGTCCATTATCACAGAAAACTGAACTGTCTTCACTTTTATAAGGAAAGAGTTTTATTCAGTGCGGAAAAAAAAAGTTTCATTCACCAAATACGGACACTAAGCTGCAAAAACAGCCCATTTTGAATTAATCAATTTTGTGAAACAATACATTTATAAACAATTATGACATGCAGAATATGAGCCAAAATGAAAAACAAAACCTCTATTACACTGTTTTCATGTCACTTGACCTCTTAACTGAAAAACAATGCATGAGAAATGCATGTAAAAACTGGAATGTTGAATATGTGTGAGCTTTGAATACAATCTGAGTTGAAATGTACGCAATACGGCTTTTTTGCAGTATGGATTTTCCTCATTCAAATGCAACGATAACAGTGAAATATAATGCACACATGACATTACTGTTCCACAGTGACATGCGGAGTACATGCCAAAATGAAAAGCAAAACGTCAGTTACAAGGTTGTTGCATCGCTTGACCTGTTTTTGAAACTTAAAATGTATTTGCATCATTGAAATGCGTCTAAAGCAGTGAAATGCAGTGCACACACAAGACTGTATTTAAAAACGAGCCAAAATGAAAAGTATAAGATCCTTTACATTGGTTCAACATTCAGTACTGCACTGTGGAATTATTACATTTCAATTACATATTGTATTCAGTCCTGACATGAATTCAGCATTTCATTTTTAAATTCCTCAAGAAATCTTCATGCATTGTTTTTCAGTGAAGAGGCCAAACAAAGTGATAACAGTGTTCTGCATGTCACTATGGAACAGTAATATTACGTGTGCACTGCATTTCAATTTTTAATTTAGCACATTCCTCTCCATAAGGAATGTGATCTTGTAAAAATGAATAACAACAGTCCTAAACTCTTGAAATGGATGGTTCTTCAAGGATTCTTTAGTCAAGAAAATGGTTTCATATAAGACCATGACCACTCAAAGAACACTTTGCATGAAATCAAAAAAGGTTCTACAGTTTGATGGAAAACGTACTGTACATGATTCCATAGAGAACCTTTTTGAAAAGGGTTCTATATCAGGCATAACATTATGACCACCTCCTTGTTTCTATGCTCATTGTCCATTTTATCAGCTCCACTTACTATATAGGTGCACTTTGTAGTTGTACAATTACAGACTGTAGTCCATCTGTTTCTCTGCATACTTTATTAGCCCCCTTTTACCCTGTTCTTCAGTGGTCAGGACCCCCATGGCCCTCACAGAGCAGGTGCTATTTGGGTGGTGGATCATTCTCAGCACTGCAGTAACACTGACGTGGTGGTGGTGTGTTAGTGTGTGTTGTGCTGGTACGAGTGGATCAGACACAGCAGTGCTGCTGGAGTTTTTAAACACCTCAGTGTCCACTCTATTAGACACTCCTACCTTGTCAGTCCACCTTGTAGATGTAAAGTCAGAGACGATAGGTCATCTGCTGCTGCACAGTTTGTGTTAGTTATCCTCTAGTTCTTCATCAGTGGTCACAGGACGCTGCCCACAGGACGCTGGTGGCTGGATATTTTTGGTTGGTGGACTATTCTCAGTCCAGCAGTGACACTGAGGTCTTTAAAAACTCCAGCAGCACTGCTGTGTCTGATCCACTCAGACCAGCACAACACACAATAACACGCCACCACCACATCAGTGTTACTGCAGTGCTGAGAATGATCCACGACCCAAATAGAACCTGCTCTGTGAGGGTCCATGGGGGTCCTGACCACTGAAGAACAGGGTTAAAAGGGGGCTAACAAAGTATGCAGAGAAACAGATGGACTACAGTCTGTAATTGTACAACTACAAAGTGCACCTATATAGTAAGTGGAGCTGATAAAATGAACAGTGAGCGTAGAAACAAGGAGGTGGTCATGATGTTATGCCTGAACGGTGTAGCACCAAAATGGGTTCCATGATAGTTACAAGCCAAAGAACCCTTTTTGCTATGAGTGTATGTGCATAAAACCGCACGTCATATGTGGACCTGAATGAATGAAGGAAAGAAAATGTACGATATGGGCCCTTTAAATAAGAAGCTTTACCCCAGTTGACATACTCATTTGATTTAATGTGTTTTTTAGTCTGATGCAGATGAAAATAGATCATAACAGCCCTAAGAGTAATGATAAAACACTTATTCTTCATATGCAGAAATGGTGACACACTGACCCAATGGTAAATCAGGTAAATCATGCATTTCAGTTACGCGGACAGCCACACGCTCCTCCTCACTGCATGAGCCAAAATGCACACTACAATGATGATGATGATGATGCCTAATATCGACGTACAACATTAGCACGAGTCTCACAGCGCGCTTGTAAGGATGTGAATACGCTGCAGTCTTACATAACTGTCCACAGCATCATTCCGCGCCATTTGGCTCGGTAAGCAGTCGCTCCGCGGAGCCTCGTGGCCGAACTGTGCCGGCCCGACACCGGACACTCCTTGCATGTTTTCCCAAAGACTGAAAGTGATTCAAAGGAACTATACTTAGCAACACAACCAAATGAATACAACACGAAACCGCTCGTTAACACCATCTGTTTACTGTACAGTTCGCCGTCAGCACAGTTCCGTCAACACGCCGCATGCTGAACGGCACTAGCGGAAATGTAGTGTCTCCCAACCGCTCTCACTGACTTTTAGCCTGATTTATCTCATTCGAAGGACTGCGTTTTATTCACATAAGAATACAAAAGTCAACCAAGTATAAATGGCATAATGTACTTTCTTTATTTGCGTGACAATCAGGTCATCCGTCAGAGTAAAACGGGTGTGTGACTCCATTTCCCACAGTCCCCTGCGGTCTCGTACATGCTCAGTACGATGGCAGGTTATAAACTGTTGACAAAAGTCACCCTGCGTTGAAGTTGAGCTCAGGTGCCACTTCATATCGCTGTCCTCGTCATGATCGGTAAGCCATGACTCATAAAATTAGTAGGTTTATTTATTTTTTGTGATTCATTCATCGTTTGCCCTTATTGCTGCATATGAAGCTGGATACCCGAGTCTGACAAAAACACGCGGCTTTTCACGTGCTTAGAAATACACCGTGACGTTTTTAAGGCGTATCATGTTTAGGGCACTAAAGCTTATATAGCGTTTGCTGACAAAACGTCCCAGTTTTAAATCCTGTGTGTAACGTTACTGTGGGAAATGTTGACATTTCGCCGCGTTGGTCTCGCGAGAATTCGTGGGAAGTCGCTACACCAGCTGAACTTGAGCCTGCAAGAAGAGGGCTGCGTCCAAAACACAGCTGTACTACACATAGTTAATAACCTAATGAATGGACTTCTAATGGTGGCGTACTAGTTTGGTATTTAGTATGGTAGGATGTGGTTTAGACACAGCAGGAGCTCGGCTCAGTTCGCGGATTGTGGTGATTGTGGGAGGCTACAACATAGTTATATGATGTAAGACAGGTGGGAAGGTTATTCACCTGGTTTAGTACAGAGTTCAGTCGCACCAGTGGGCTGCCTGTCTTATTCACAGCTACGTGCAGGCCTGGGCGATATTGCTGAAGTTCAGTATCGTGATATTTTTCAGATATAGGAAGGTATGAGTTGATATTAACCCAGCCTTAATGCAGCTAAATAGAGGTGGGTGATATGGCAAAAAAACAAAACAAACAAAAAATTTACAAACACAATACGCCACAATATATATTTTTTCAGACATCTGATCAGAGAAAAAAGAAGTAGTGCTACATAAAAAAAAAATTGCAATGATTTTTCTTCAACATTTGGCATACTGTGTTGCACTGAATCCAGTTAAACGGGCCTAATTTTGCTCTGTTTATAATGAAACGTCAGGGGTCAGTCTTCTTTAAGTACTGACGATATCTATAGTATGTTCAGAAAAGCATATTGTATTGTATTGTGACATAATATATCGCAGTAACAATATATACTGTCATATTGCCCAGCCCTACAGCTAACGCTTTTGAACCCTAGATGTATTATTGTTATTTTTAATATCTCTGGAAATTTCTATAAGTTTTCCATTAAGCCATTATAAAACATTGTTAGTTATGTAGTCATGAGAGTGAACAATAAATATATAGGGTTTAAGGGGTTGATAAGTTAGCATTAATAAAGATAATGATCTCATGCTTCCTGAAGAGTGCTACTCTGTGGGGTTTTTTATTTAATTTTTATCATTTTTATACTGTCTGGAATGACAGACGTTGCAGTTATCTATTAAGTACATGTGTGTTATAGGCATTATGTCATAAATGTAATATCACTAAAAACATTGTTAAACGTTGTATATCATTAGGGAGTTTGAAGTAATATGTAAACACTTTAAAATATATCATTCACTGCCCAGTCCATGCGGTCCATCCCATATGGAAACTGTTTTGAAGTCATTGTTTCTCTGATGTCACGAGAACCAACTCGTTTATGTACATTCACCTGTTTAGCCTACAGCACTTTAGTTCCACCCATTCACATAAGTTCTAAGAAGCTCTGATTGCTTTTTGAATGAGGCGCATTACAGGGCAGCCAATCAGAACAGAGCTCTTTTTCATCTATCAGTTTTAAAAGCACAGTGACAAAAACAGCCTGTTTAATTGTAAGGGATAAAGAGAGGTTGGAAGATTATCGTGTAAAAATAAATTATTTTTATTCATATTTATTATTTATTATTATTTCAGGTACCTAAAGTGGAGCTCAAAGAAAAAAAAATACAAAAAAAATTGTAGAATGTGGGCTCTTAAAGGAGCGATATGTAAGATGACACAACCTGTTGAATTCATACTCCACACTCTGAACAAACGGGGCAACATATCACCAAAAGGTTGTGGAGTCCACCCCTATAGTAATAAACAAAAAAATGCACAGTCCCTTCTTTAACTTTGCAAAGATATTAATACTTTCAGTAACTTTAAACAGTTAGCTACCTTAATAAGTCATCACTAAATAGCCGACATTAGCATTAACAGCTGTTTACTTACCAGTCTAGAAGAAATGTTACAAGTAACAAGCAACAAACTTCATCCCTTTCCTCACCAAGAGACATCTCCAGCAGTGGAAAGTAACGTCAGTAACTCTTATTTTGCTTCTAAAGCAGGCAGCGGTGAATGATAAAGGTTGCTTGCCAAGAGCTTCAGCCATTGCTGCCTTTACTGTTCCTTTCATTGGCTACCTGTCCTTAAAGGGTCCATAATGAGACAGGATGGGCTGGTTCTAGCTGGTTAGCATGCTAACTTCAGTAGATATCTCTTCAGCATGATACATAGACGTCTTTGACATAACGTCAAAACTGCTGTTTTTTCACATTCTGTTAATAATTTTAATTAATTCTGGAATATGTTAAAATACAAATCTTACAAATTGCACATTTAAAACAGACAAGCGATACTGTGGTATATCAGTGTCTATATTGGTACAGACTATATCGCCTGCCTGTAGCTATAATATAGACTCTCTTCAAATAGCTGTTCAATAGACAGCAGGTGTGACCATATGGTGCACAGACATCTCACTATCTTAATTTTCTTCTTTTTATGTACAGAAGATTTAAGTGTGGTTATTTTCTACAGTTCTTGAGATCAAATACAAACCAAATCAATAACATTTCACTTAGTCACAGTCACTGTTATATTGAGTTACACTCAAAACATATTACCCAAAGAACCTGCGCCATGTCATGGTGGATCATGATTAATTTGTCTTTCCTTTGAAACATAAAGCTACATTTGAGCCCAGCGTAAAAATGTGATATTTCCGTGCACCTTATCACTGGGCTAATTGGAGGGGCCACTCCTGAGCACGGAGAGCCCATCCCTGCCTTAGGAGCTGCAGACTCTGAAGAAGACGTATTGATTGTGTCTTTTGAGTGTGTCGGATGCGTCAGTTCGGGCTTCGCTGATCCCTGCGAGACAGGGATTTGGTCTGAGAGAGCTGACTGGCGCTTGTCTGAGAAAATGAGAATGAATCGAGCAGCTTGCCTTCAGCCTCGGGCTGCACACCCTCCGCAATGGCGACATTATCTGTCCCAATGATCTTGTCACAAAAACCCGATTTTATATTGACTCAGGCTCTTAGTGTATTTAGTGCATGACAGAGCAAATCACTTTACCAAGGATATCCTAAATGTTCCACGAAAACTAGGTCATCAACAAAAGCGTGAGTTATTATATAGTCAGTTTTGCAGCGTGATGCAGTTTCACCAATGAGCTTGTTGATGATGCGGAGCGGTGTGTTCAGAATTCTGCGTCAGCTGGAGTTTGGTAGTGGTTTCATTCTTGCTTCAGTGTTGAGTTGATACTTGATACTTGACCTTACATCATGTGTGAAAATAAGGTGCTTGCTATTGAGGTTTTCACTGCTGGACAAGAGCGGTCAGGCAACGCAGGGCAAGAAGACGGGTTGCTTGTTAAAGCTTTTGAAGGGAAGCCACGCTGATAATTTAGCTTCCTTGAGAGAATTTGCTCTGTGTCAAAACACATTCTCTCTAAGATTCATCCTTGCTGCTAAAGGCAGCACAAATACTTGTGAGTATACAGTTATGGGCAAGTTTGGATGCCCCTGGTCAAATGACATTGATTTTGACATGAATTTAATATATAATATTAATATGATATAGTTAATATATAATATAGTTAATATATAATATTAACAGGTGACCTTTTCAAAATGTATGGTTCTTTATATTTTAGGTTCACATTTTTTCCAAAAACTAATATTTGAAGAAAAGTGTCATGTTTAAGTTCTCTGTAGATTAAATTACAGTAAACTTTGTCATTGTGCATTGTGTCATTGTACAGGTAATGAAATGTGGTTAGCATCTAACCGAAAGTGCAAAATACAGTATTATTTACGTACAAAGTGCAAGAAAGTAACAGACAATTGTCAATTACAATATGTACAATTAAGGATGGTAGAGTGGTAAAAATATGTGTAGCAAGTATAAATATAATATACGTATATATATAGAGTTAGTGGAGAGGATGCAAATGTAGGTAGTATTTACTGTCAGACCCATATCGCTGCTGTCGGAACAAAACATTGTATCTCCATTTTTGTCGTTTTTCAGTTTTTGACATAATTTGAAAATGTCTTTTGCCCTTTACATCGTATGTAAATTTTATGATGAATTGACCAAAAGAAACGGCCCAAAATTACTTGAAAAATATTCTGGTTCCACTTACATTAAAAGTCAAGCATATTTTTTCCTCCTGTAAAGTTATCATTTTAGAGATACGAAGTTTTGTTTCCGACAGCAGCGATACGTAAAATGATAAGTATGCAGAGTAAAGAAAATGTTCGATAACTGTCTGTACTAATATGAATAGTGCAATAATACCAAGACATAGAGTACAGTAACAATGCAGTGAGTGCAAAGATGCAGTTAAAGTGACGGTGTGGAGTTCAGCAGGGTTATAGCCTCAGGGAAGAAGCTCTTCCTGAGCCTGCTGGTTTGTGAGTGGAGGCTTCTGTAATGCCTGCCAGAGGGAGGGGGGTAAAAAGTCCATGGTTAGGATGAGAAACATGCTTGATGATGTTCCTTGGCCTGCCCAGGCAGCGCCTATGGGAAATGTTCTCAATGGTGGGTAACTGGGTACCTGTGGCGTGTTGGGCAGTTTTCACTACCCACTGGAGCGCTTTTGCCGTACCACACTGAGATGCACTTTGTGAATATGCTCTCTCTGGTACAGCGGGAAGAAGTCAACCAGTATCCTGGGACAGTGGTTGACTTTTATGATAATGTGTTAACCGTATCCATATCATGGGTGTTTCATTAGGGATGAACATGCTGGTCTCGACATACTAATCATATAAAAACATATTTATTTGCAAAATATGCTGCTGAGCACTGACACACTATGTGTCCAAAAATGTCCAGCCCTTCTACTTAGAATTCAGCTACTTTAAGTTGCACCCATTGCTGACACAAGTGTTCAACTGC